TAGGCTCAGCTCGGGCTGGGTTTTTTTGCAAAGGTAGGGAGAAGCATTTCGGGGTTGACTGAACCGGGCTGCTCACACTAAAAGCTTGTTCTGAGCAGAGATGTCAAAGCCTCGAAAGACCTCACGCAGGGGAAATACTCTGGTTTCCTTGGAGAATCAGAAACACCAGCTGACAGGATCCGGGTAAAGCAGCCCTCCTGCCGAGAGGATCAGACCCACTCTTTGGGAGCACAGCCCTCCAGCAAGGTGGAAAGCTATACCAGACTGGCGGTAGGGTTTTCACTTTCTTTAACTAGATCCTGGTATTAATAGGAATTCCTCTGGATTTGGCACTATTCTTGACTGTGAAAAGAAAGTGCAGAGAAACTCAGAGGTGGGTGTTCAAGTTCGATCATTACTGACCTAGCTACGTGCTTTCCAGGGCCTGCTCCTGTAACCTTTACCCATTTGAACAGTCTCATTACCTTCAGGAGGAATTAGAGAAACAAGACTTCCAGTGTGGCAGGTTAAAATTGCAGCCTGGAATACTTAGTTATTAGGAAATGCTCCGTACCCATAAGGACCTTAAGCAATGGCGTTGATTCCCTGGGGAGCGTGCTACTGGAGATGTTTAAGAACAGGTTAGAAAAACATCTGCTAAGGCTGACTGGCAGTACATCCTGCCCTGGGACAGGCAGATGAATTTGGAGGTGCCTTTTTAGACCTATTTTTAGCCTGTTTTCCAAAGGCAGTGAAGCAATGGCTCCCCCTCCCAGTTTGCCAGCCCTTAGTAACTTCTGACCCATTGGGTGAACTTCAACCAACTTTGACAGAAGAGTAGAGATACCAAAAATATTAAGTTCCTACATATTTTAAGCAAATACGGATGAATAAAGGAGAACAAGGAAATTAATGTCTTCATCGATTTTTAACATGGCCCCATATCCTTTCGGAGAGGCAACAGCCCCAGCTCCCGTGGGGCTGTGACTAGGGCAGGGCGCACACAAATCTGCAGGAAACCAAACTTCACTGCTTCACGCTTCGATGCTGGCCAACAATATGGATGAAGTCAGAGTCAAGCTTTGGGAATCTGCTCCGACTTGCCCAGGCAGCACGTTCAGAAACAGCGTTTGCAAACGGTCCCGAAACACTCAGACAGAAAAGACGTGTTTATGTAAATCCATTTTTACGCATGATTTTCCAGCATGCACAAGATGAATCATCAATACCCAAAGAGGCCGATTATGCCAATGAAATATTAGTATCTGACAGTACTAACCACAGCAGATTATCAGGATATTTCCCTATACTGACGAGGTGAAGTAAGGCAGATAGCTTAGAAGATACACTAGGGTAATTCTTGCCAAGTTGCACCAATAGCAACCAAAAATCCTGTAACTGCTCACTAACAAAGTTTACTACCATATCGAGACATTGTTCAGTAAAACTTTCATTTCTGAAAGCACTTTATTTCCCCCTGTCTTCTACAACATCCTCCAGGGAAATCTCACCCAGCATCCAGAAGGAATGAAACTTTCAGAGTATTTTAGTGTTTGTCTTTGCTGTCTGTGTAGGTCTTAACGGTACTATAGGAAATCCAAGTTTGGAAAGGAGCAGGTGTTTTCTTGGTTTGAAAGCACATCATCTTAATGGAAATATGTCAAAATCTAAATGCTCTACAGTACTTTTCTATAGTGCCTGCAAAATTTTAGCAGAATCATCATAGGAGAGGCAGCAATTATCCTACATCTGTATTCTGCTTTGCAGCTGCACCGGTAACTCCACCTCATACCAAAGCTGAGCAATACTGCTTGGAGCAAAAGACAGCATGGAGTTGTCCATAACCTTGCCAAACTTAGAGTGACTGGGTTGGAATACCCTGTGTTTTGGGAAAATAAATAAAGAAAAAATGGCCCAGTCATTTCTAAGGAACAAGTTAACACTTTGAGACAGCACATGAAATTCTGAGCTGCGAAATCTGGGGTTCTCCAAACTGGACTTTGGTCTACCTTGCACTAAGAGGACTGTGACAGTTTGAACTTTTTTATGATGGCTTGTATACAATGTATGTATAAACAAGGCGGTGAAACCAAAGCCAGAGATCAGATTTCCCCATGACTGTGCCAGGAAACATACAGGACAGATTCACCAACCCTGGGAAGAGCTCCCAGAGGGACTGGCAGGAATAAATTAAGTGTCAAGTAGACGCGGGCAGCCGCCTCTTCACCTCCTGTCCTACCAAGCCCAGCACAGACTCGGCCACCGTGCTTGCCCACGTCTTTGACACAATAAACGAGGTGCAATATTTATCCTTTAAGTTGACCTGCTAACAAGCGTGGCTTTCAAGTAAAAGTAGACGTACCAGAGGGCAAACATACACAGGGAGGCTTGGTCTGCCTCCAAAAGCCTTCTCCCACAGAGGTGCTGTGAGATGCTCAGGGGCTGTAATGTGGATTTTCCACAACATTGCAAGGACTGCTCTAAAGGCTGGTAATGAAAATGCTGTCCACGCAACAAAACGTCTCCCTTGGGAAACATTAGTTAGTGCCCACTTAGCAAGCAATGAGCCAGGGAGAAGGGCATATGGATTTGAGATTTGTTGTGCCCATGATACTGATCTTTGAGTGGCCCTTATTTTACCCCCCCCTTTTTTTTTTCTAATCTAAATGCTGCTTCCTGAAAGTTGCTTGATCAGAACCCCTTCTACTTCATATCAAACCCCAGTTTTAAATGTAGGCAACTATTGTCTTGTTTAGGAGAAATACAAAAATGAGAAGTTAAAAACCCTAATAATCTAATAATAAATAGGGCAGAGATGTAAACAAACAGATACCTCATGCCGTGCAATGCTTCGCAGCTATTGTATCAACAAGTTGGTGTTACCTTGGAAACAAGAGATTATCCATGCATGCCTTCTCCCAGACGGAAACCGGGAAAGGAGGCATGCAGAATGGATTTTGAGTCTTTCGGAGTTGCCACCCAACTATCGATGCCAATTGATGCCAATCCCAACTACTGATGAAAATTCAGAGGCAGTGCAGAGGTTGCACCATCCTTAATGCAACAGCGATGAGGGTAAGTACCTGGCCATCTCGTCCTCTCCACCTTGGGATAACACAACCCTTTTTCAAGAAAGCGCAGAAAAGTTATTCCTTGGAAATACCCTGTGCAGAGCAAAGGACAACATGGCCTTGTTTGATTCTCAGCAGCAAGAGGGCTAGCAGCAGCAAGGAGGGCTAACGTCAAATGACTGTGATAAAATCAAGCTTAAGCTAACATGTTGCACCCCATAGCTGAGGCAGATTAAGAGCACACGCACACACAAGGTTTGTCACACGGGCTTTCTGCATGAGTGGGAGTTTGTTATGGTGCTGTCCCTTGATTGCATTCAAGCGTGTGCCCATATTCAAATAAAACAACCCTGTAGTTTTTGAGGATTTTTCCTGCTTTTTCTTAATAGGAAGGATAAAAAGTATCAATCCTGCTCCCTGGCAGATTCAGCTCAATGCATTTGTATGCAGGATGTCTTGGTCTACCTCGTAACACAAGCCGCAGCTCTTTGTCGGGGCTCAGGCACCCTCAGAGCTGCCACCCCGAACGCTGCGGACAGGTTTCTGGCTGCTGACTTCAGCCAGGCATCCCACCCCGGTGGGCATCAGTGAAGCTGTGTCCATCTGGAACAGCTAAATGCTTGGCCCTTGGAAAATTAGTTGTCTGGGTTTACAAATACAGCTATAACAGAAAGGAAAATTTCCTAGTAAGTGTTGAATTGTGAGCAAGTAGAAATTTATACTAATACATATTCAGTGTCACCTAAGATCACAGATCTACATTTCAGATAACGCAATGATCTGGATGTAAGAAATTTAGAAAAGTGAGGGTTATGCTACATTAAATAAGCTAATAATAAGTAGGAGTAATATTGATTTGTTTTTTTCTAAAGAGATTAAACAAAAATAAGGATTGGTAAATCAACTGGTCACGAAATTGGTACTTCCGACAACCCAGCTGGTTTGTTGGAATTTGTATGACACTGATGTTCCCATGCAAGTCCTTTTGCAGCACTCTGGGCTGAAATGTAGGGCTACAAAAACAGATTAAAATCGTACAGGGCACTGTCCTTCCCACACTGCCAGCAGAACAGCTCCTAACGACATCTCCATGCCTGGACGTTACCAACAGACAAGGGACCAACATGGTCTCCCAGAGCTTCCCGTGGGGTATCAACCCCAGAGCTGCCTCCTCTATCCGATGCTCCAGGCTTCCCTACAGCACATCTGGCTCTTCGCAGCTGTGCTTTATGCCTTTGCCCTGTCTGCTCTGCTCTTGTTTGAGATGACTTCATCATTGAAAAAGAGAGAGACTAGAGATGGCAAGAAGACATTTTAAATCACGTTTTTTAATTGATTTCAGAAAGACGGGGAAAAAAAGAAAAAGCAGTATGAGCACCATTTCCCTCCTCCCTGCCAGGTGGATGTGACGGGAGGACCAGGTCAGCCACAGCGTATCATGCACCTGATGGGATCCTGATCTTCTCAGGCTCAGGGGGAGAAAACGGGGAAGAAGAGGGGCTCTGGTGAGAGAGACGTGTCAAGAATGGTATGAGCTACCACTGCTGCTGAGACAAGGATGATGCTTTCTTGCAAATCCAGCACTCATGCACATGGTGGCATCTCGGGTCACCTCTTGCTCAGTACAGACCAGGTATCTGTTGAGCCTCAGAGAACTAAACCACGGCAACTCCATATGTATAGAGCCAGTTCTGATCCCCTTAACATCTCCTCTTCACTCTGGTTTGATTTGGGTGAGACTATTCACAAAACACCTTAGTTCCCAATTTCACAACAGCCCAGCCCATCACGCCTGGAGACACATTTTTAACCATCTGCTGAGGATTTTGCAGACTGCAGCACACAAGACAAATACTTCTCACGTATCCCATCCTGTGGGTTAAAAAACAAAACCAGAACAAGAGGAGTGGGCAATTTTGACACAAAAACATCAGTAGGTTCAGTACTTACAATTGCATGACCAGATATAAATGGTTCGGGCTTTCATAAATATCTTCCAGGGCAACTATATTTTCATGCTTGATCCTGAAAAAACATAAGATAACATGAAATACTGATTTTTATTTTTTTACATGCCTGCAAGACATAAAGCTATTTTTAGTTAGACACTACTTGTCAACGCTTTATTCAACATCATAAAATATGATCTTAACCGAAGTAAACAGTCAGGAGTGCTTCGCAGCCCAGAATACTGTTATTACTCACAGAAAATTCCTTCAATCCTCTCTGAAGCCAAAATATTCAAGGGTTAAGTATCTGGGGCATTAGAGGTTTACAGTTCCCGTGTTCAGATGCATGAAGATGGTTGGTTGGAGGTTGAAGTCTCAGGACAGCAGCAAAGCAGGGTGCGAGGGGGTGACAGAGGCAGGGTGCGGGCTGGCATGGAGAAGGCCGGGATTTGCCCCCGCGCAGAAGCTGGCACAGGTAGGCAGCAGCCGTACGAGAGCCCCAAGCTCCTTCCCACCAAATTTGCCCTGCTCCGATGTCACTCCTGCTCTGGATGCCCGAATTTGCCTGCAGCGTTATTAAGCACCCCTCAGTATCTGTGCAATGGCTCCAAGCATCTTCATGGGTTTTCTACACCTTCACCATTCCCACCCATCATTCCCACTAAGCCTCTTGTCAAAATGCTAGCTTTAAAGAGAAAAATCATCTCTACAAGCATACATCTAATTAACTACTCAGAGCAATGCCTCTCTGGGTTTGCTCCTTAAATGCTTACAAATAATTTCCAAAGGATACATTTAACTTGTGCAAACCCTAAAGAGACTACCAGTACAACGCCAGGGGCAGAATATTTATTACACCGATTGCAGACAGTTGTTTTAAGAGCAAAAGAAAGCTGGGAAACGCTAAGCAGAGAGCACTCATTAAACAATAGAAGGACACGTTCAGAAAGTAAGTAAAAGTGCATTGCCAGCAAATGCAAAACTCTCTGCATGTTTCAGGGTTCAAGTAGCATAATTAAGATGCTTCACTAAGCTGTCAGAACCTCATCGTCAACGGTCCCAAGTGCCCTAGCGTCTGCGTGAAGATGCCGAGAGCAGAAGGTCCCCTGCGCCCAGCAGGATCTTTCCCGTAAGAACGCAGGCTGATCCAATTTCCTCTGAATTCACTGGAAAGATTATGACTGACCTGAATTCACGCCCATAATCAGTCATCAAAAGCTGCATTCATAGAAGGACCTTCACACACAGGAAATTTAACATCAACAATAAGTGAACTCAAATAAAATGCACTACAGGATGTCAGAGCAACAAATACATGAGTAGGCTCCTCACTCTACATAAATATCTGGTAAATCCCATGATATTTTAGCAAAATTTCCAGGTAGACTGCATCACAAATTAAGTTCTTAATATTAGCAACAGGAAACCAACACACCACCCACTTGGCTTTACACAGCACACGTCTGGAAACCTTTATTTTGCTGTGCAGGTCTAATGCCTGGTCCCTTAAAGGTTACAGTCAGGGCAAGGGCAGTTTTGCCTTGTTGAAGTTAGCTGAAGGTACACTAGGATCCCAAATGACATTTCAAGCAAATAGTCACTTTTAATTGAAATTATTATATGTATTTTTCTATTTTGCTCTACGCACACGCACATTCACGTGATCATTTGTGTATCTCATACCATCGTGATCAAGAAGGCAATTTTAATGCAAATATCTACTATAGCATTATCTGTTTAAAGCCTCCAACTTAGTCTGCCATACAGTTCTTACCATGCACATATTAATGCTTTGCATTACTATTTTTGAGAACCTCAGAGGTTCTCCAAACCAACCTAACCCCCTCCGAGACAGCTGCCAGCAACACCTAACCGTCACCCACAGGACTAACGGGTGGGTTACCCACAAAGGCGAACAGCCAGGGAGGCAGAGGCTAGAAAAGAGCTCATCAGACACGCAACGCCGCACGCTGAGGGTTGCCGCAAGACCCTCTCCCCTTTCTGATTTGCAAAACAAATGGGCACTGCGCCGCTGCGCTCTCCGAAGGCGGATAAACTCGCTTGGTTCTAAAGTGAAGGGGAGAGAAAGGGTTTAGTCCTACCATTGCGGGGTCCTCTTTGAAATCAGATGCAGGATATGAGCATGTGGGATTCAGGGAGACAGGGAATCTAAAATATAATGGGGAAGAAGGCAGCAGAAGAAGCTGAATCACCCCCAAAGTACCAAGGGAGCCACCCCCATAGGGATGAGGGTATTTGGAAGGAGATGTCCATTTGGGAGGTGATACCTGTGCACACCAGCCACTCCAACCGCCGATGGCTGCTGCGCTCGAGGGGCTTGCTGAGATGGGAAGGAGGTATTTTTTTCCACTTTGCCTCAGCCTCCCCACGACCAGCAGGGCCTTAATCGTGGCATTACGCAGTGCTTAGTATTCCCAGTGAAGTGCACATCGCACGCCCGCAAATCAGGCAGCTTGACCTTCACAGCGTTTCTCTACTCAGACGGACACTCAAATGACAAGCTATTTAACAGAGAATAGAATTCAAAATTTAAAAAAAAAAAAAAAATCGATGGAAATCCCTTGGGAAGAAACCTACGGCTTAGATCAAGTTGCGGGTCGTGTTGCTGACGCCGGACCAGAGCAGCCGTGGGCTTCCCAGCAGAGGTCACTGCAGCCAGCAGCAGCACCCGCTCCTCTGCCCTCCGCTCCCCCCAGAAATTCCTGCGCTCCTTTCTTCACTTTGAACCACGGGCGAGCAATCACCTACAGCCCTGATACACATTAATTAACCCTTCAAGGCTGAACACTGTTCATTACAATAACACGCTGGGATTTGGGAGATCAGGTGCGGTATCCTCACCCGTTGTCGATACCACAATGGGGACTGGGAGGACTTTGTCCCACTCCTCTGCGAGCAGATCGGTGGTGCCAGACATGCAGGTAACAGCCAAACAGATACTTCTGGCTTCAACGGATGCTCAGGTACATCAAGAGCTGAGGAAAGCACTGTGCAGAGGCAGCTACTTCATGGTCACAGATCAGGAGGGATTTGGGAATGGCTTAATTAACTCCGCTTTTATCCCTCTCTAGAAGCACTGAGTGAATCTCAAAGGTTCAGAGGATTCATTCTGCTAAACCTCCAAATGCCTCCTCCACGCAGCCCCACCGGTGATCTTGCTTAGCAGAAATACTCACCAGACTATCTGATCTCCTCAAGACCTGCCAGGATTTATTATTTTAAACGGTGCTGCTCTCATTTTACAAAAGGGGAAGCGGCATGCAGAAAAGCTAAAAGTTTTTCTGTAATCACATGAGAGGAGGGAGCAGAGGGGGCCGAGAAACCAGACCCCCTGTCCCCAGAGTATTATCTTAACCAATGGGCCATCTTATTCCAATCCCTTCTCCTTCCCAGCTCAGTGAGAGGATCTTAACCCCACCTCTCCGCAGCCTTTTGCTTCCCTCTGTCTTTCCTCTCTGGCCTCCCCTCTTCCCATCGTGTGGCTCCATGCTGCAATAGATAAACCTGCCCCAGATTAACCCTGCGCAAAGCACCGCATCAATGTTGTTGTGGTACATGATGGTGCAACACTATGGCTGTAGCAGAGGGGACATGGACATGGACTGGGGCGACAGCAGTTCCCATTTATTGTTTCAAAAAAAAAAAGAAAATCCCCGAAAGTGAACATCAAAACATGGGCTTGGTTAAAGCAAATTAGATCAGATTACGTAAATTGTTATGAACAAGGAAACATCCAGCTAAGGAAATCACCCTTACCACCCTTTTAACCTCCCCTTCATCAACACTTGCTTTTTCCCTGATGCTCTCCCTCCTTTGGCAAACCCCAGGTGCTGCTCCCATCTCCCATTCCCTGATGTGTGCCCGCAAATCCCCCCATCTGTGACACGAAGGGCAGGTGCCACCTCCAGCCACTGCTGCTTTGTTCATTTTCAGGAATATTTTGAAGCCGTTTGACAGAAAGATGATGTCTAGAAATAAAAATACAAATAAAGAGAGGCCAATACTTCAACCAATTCACTCAGGACTCTTCACCCCATAAGGCCCCTGAGATGCTGCAATCCAGGGGACAAAGAAGAGGAAAATAAATCTAGAAGTGAGAATCAGGGAAATTTAAGTATACAAAAAACCATGAAGAAACTATGAAGAGAAAGGATGGATTCACCATTTTCAGGGCAGCGCTGGTTTGCATGCCATGCCACAGGCAGACACGAGCCACAAGACTTGATGCAACCATATAAAATTATCAAGTTTCCCCTCCGACCTTTCAGGTCTGTGATTCTGCCCATGTGCTGTTGCAAAGGTGTCAGCAACACAAATGAATGGGGGCAATGTCACACCTGAGCAATATTTTAACATATGAGCAAATTGCCGGCCAAGACTTAAAAGAGCAAACGGAACTGGGCGACCAACGACTTCGGTTGACTTTTCCGAGCATGGCAGCTGTGCAAACAAGGGCTGACGGGAGAACGTTTGATTTGCTGCAGAGCCCCAAGCACAGACTGGTCCCCTTTGCTTCCTGTGGAGTCATTGCACAAGAGCATTGATAGGGGAATTGTCATTTTTCCCTGACTGCTACAGCATCCAGTGCTGCTGAAACACAGAAGCGTCTGCCTCTGAAGGAGCTGAAACCCGAAACAAGACCCGACTTGACCAGGAGCGGCATTTGGCCCTGCATGACAGTTTCCATCAAGCCAAACTGGGTGTGCTCCGGCGCTGGAGTAGTGATGAGTATATGGCGTGGCACCCCAGTGATGCTAAAATCCACCCTCACCATGGGCCAGAACAGAGCCGCCACATCCTACTCACTGCTACCAGAAGGGCACAAGTCCCATAGGATCACAACTAGCCCTAATGGGTAAAACTCACTTCAACATTTGCAAAATAAAATTAAAAAATCAATATATTCCATGGGCTTTGGCTGGAGATTGCTTTTAAGAAGCAAAGGATTAAAATATGGAAGTTGATGTACCACAAGGGAAACTAAATCCTTTAATGACTGAGCTTCCTGTACATCTCTGCTGGCTCCTGACTATCCCAGAGGCCAAAGAGCTGAAAGAAAACTCGTTGCATATTGCCGTGGATCGTTAATTAGAGGGGTAGCACTCTGCACAGATAAAAGCAGAGGACCCAGATTTTGCTGTTGCTTTGGCTGCCGAGCTGCCAGGAGACCATGTTAAATATCCCAGCTGCAAAAGCATGCTACAAACTATGATTAAATCACTTACATTAACACCTATCATATTTAACACTGAAAACTAGGATCAGTTAGAAGAATACCATGCAAAAACCTTGGGCAAACACGAGAGCCATTTAAGTAGGGCAGGTTCCCTCCGTAACAACTCTTTCCGAGTCAGTGTTACATTTGCAAGACATGACATTTAATGCTGCACCTCCATGAACAGCACGTGTCACGGATAAAATGCCACAAGAAAGCACAAATAATTTTGTGAAAGCCAGAACTAACAGAGCCTAAGTCTGTAAGGATTTGTAGCTTTGAGTAACCAAATGTCTTTGCGAATAAATGTTCCATTATTTCCGCATATAGAGAGTTTTGCCAGCAGCATGGGGGTTACTGGGCTTGATGAATTCACTAGTTGGCCAAGGGAAGTGTTTAAATCAGAGCTTCTGCTCTGGAGGACACTAGAAACTTACCTCTGCTCCACTGTCTTATGCGGTTGAAACAAATCAATAATTTCAACGGAAATTAGGATAGCCTCACACATATTCACACAGAGTGATCATATCAGATTGCTTTCCACATGAAAGAAAACTACTAAAAAATCTTCAGGATGGCTCATAATGATGTGAGAACTCACGGGAACAAACCAGCCTGCTCCCAAGGGCAAAACGTGACAAGTCTGCTAAGAAGGGAATAGGGTAAGTGAGATGGCAAGGGTTGCTACAGGGAAGGAAACTGATGGCTGTCCTGAAAATGGCTGGCTGACTGCAGCAGAGCTCTGCCCACTACTCCTGATCTGGAAAAACCTTCAAATACTGATGCTATCCATGCGACTTGTAGTGCCTTACCTTCATGCAAGGCATCTTACAATTCAGACCTTTGAAAATCAACCGGACATGTATGATGTGAGGTACCATATCTCTAATTCTACCCTTTCTCATCCCGTAGCCCCCAAACATCCTCCAGGACAGGTATTTTTCAGATGGATATTCCCCATATAGCTTCACTGATATTTACATGAGCAGAGTTCAGCATGACATTTCTCCCATTGTCCAGGTTTCCCTCCCACGTGGACCTTCTGGTGTGAAAAGAAGAAATGTAAGCTCCAGTTCAAGCTTTTTTTTTTGCACAGTTGGTATTTATCAGGTCTTTCTCATCCATCGACTCTCTGGTATCTTGTAAAAGGCGACTTTATAGCAGAGCTTTCCCCCTCAAACAGGGCACAAACTATCTTGTGGGATTTTATATCTCAGATTGAAACCTTCTGTCTCCTTGATGATTTCAGGCCACCCAACAGGAATACCTTTTATACCACTGTTGCATAGTCAGCAAATAGTCTACTGACAGCACTGTACGATGACTCCAAGCAGCCACGAGAGGTGGCCCCAAGCAGTTCACAAGAAGCAAGCGGGAACTGCATAGGTTGGGGCTGATTGCAGTAAAGTTTGCAGAGGGAAAAAAAGGGGTTGGTTGATTTGATTTTCTTTTGCACACAAAAGTGAAGTTCCAGCTTGGAAGATTAATCATAGAATCATTAAGGTTGGAAA